TCTGGCATCGGTCTTATCAACACCCACAGGGGAAGTCGAGCCGTGACAGTGCAGAATGGGAGCTTAAAACATTAACCACTCGACCACATTGCTGCGAGTGCCCTTGGGTCACAGGGCAGATGTGAATTCCAAGGAAAGTCACCATATCATTTTCCTCATAATATTCTTTGGTGGGATTGTCGATTACACAAACGTATATGTGCTATAACAATCGACTACGTTACTTATTTTAATAAATCAGTAATATGAGAAGCGTCAGCTCTACTCCTTCCTTGAAATTCACATTTGCCCTGTGATCCGAGGGCACCCGCGGCAATGTGATAGAGTGGTTAACGTGTCAAGCTCCTATTTGCACTTTCACGGCTCGACTCCCGCTGGGGGTGTTGATAAGACCGATGCGAGATCGAAACTGTAGTCCACCCTGGATGAGAAGAACTTTTGGGAAAGCAAGGCAATGTAAAATTCAATGAAAGCGTCAGCTCTACTAATATCATTGTTGGAAAATTCTACTACCAGTCCTTCATCACCTTACACGAAATAGGGTGAATACCTCTCATATTACTGATTTACTGGAAGTCTCGAAACTCTACTTAAATACGAACATCCCTTGGGTTTATGATGGGACCAATTTATGAATCAATTGAATTCATCTTTCCGAATGAAATAAAAAGCATGAAAACATAAATTTTTCCTTGGCATATGGAAGATTGAGTTAGGTCGGCAGACATATAAAATAAGTTATTTTGCTTAGAATAATTCATAGGAGTGAAACCGACAAAAACTCTTAAATTTTAATATGTTGTACACATTTGTTAATCTAAATGAGACTACGAGTCAGTTTAAAAGTAGTGAGTATTTGAAGCTAAAAGTGAAAAAAAACATAAAATCCGTAAAGATGGGCATAAATGGTGAAAAATAATAGGGAACATAACTAAAATGAAGGCAAGACTCACTCAAAGATACATCAGATTGTTGATAGATCGCGTTTATATCCCTTGCCCTTTCAACAACACCTGTGTCTACGTCATCTTTACTGTCGATGTCATCAGTTTGCTTCATATCTATGTTAGACTCTGGCAGAATATTGGTTTTATTTTCGATCCCATCCGATTTATATTGATCAGCTTCTAGGTTTTCAGAAGCCTCCTCAGAACCGCAATGAACATCAAGGATGCTGAACAATGAAAAGCAACCGGATTCCTGTTCTCGACGAATAGCAGAGCGTGCCCAACGCCCAGCTCGCTTATCCTGAATGCGCACGCGCCTTTCCCCTGGGCAACCAACAAGATCTGAACTAAAATAAATGCATATTTTTAAAAGATCAACACGAATTGGAGTAAGTTGGCAATATAGGCAAGTAATTGCGGGCCAATCAACTGATATAGACTAATCTTTCAAATGACAAATATTTATATAAAGAAATCGCAATCCGAGTATGATAGTGGATATTATAGTAGCAGTGAATAAACTGAGAAAAAATAGATATTTCCCAAGAAAGACTACTGTATACAGAGATTAGGAGTGAAGGCGAGCCAAAATATTAATCAAGCGAGAAAATATATAAATTGCATAGATCGGGAGAATGAATATCGAACAAGATGATGGTAAGCAATGGGCCCTCCAATCCTATACAACTTACGTGTGCTAGAACGTAATAAGAGGCCTTACCTCGAAATATGATCGTAAAGTTAAAATTAAATTCGATAAAATAAAGAAATTAATTTAGATGATAAAATTTTTTTATGGTAGCTATAGCATTATCTGTCGAAAAAATGGAATATGCTGATCGGGATAGGGCATAATAACTAGGTTATATAATAAGTCGTAGTCAAGGGTCAAATGTTTTTAGTAATTCAATTAAATGGCTTCAGGTGGAATCCGTGAAAGTCTGCCAACCTTCCGGAATATCATGAGTGCCTTTTCAGCCGATACTTTCTGGCTTGCTAAATAAGTTTAGGGCGAAATGCCTGGGAATGTACCAAGTCCATAGTTATACTCTGGAAATAATCATGCATACTATGGAATCCGGACTAGGTGCGTTCTTCTAGGTCAAAGAAATTTGTATTGTTGTCTTTGAAATCGAATAAGTTACTTATAGACGTAGCACTTGCTACTTAAGGCTTGAGAAATAGCGCCTGGAGTAAAAAGTAAACTTGGGCTGAAACCGAGTGAAATCAGTCAACCAGAAAGATAAGAAACGTATTTACGGGCCCATAAGGAAGATACGGGCAGGAAGCCCGAGTCGGACCAGCCATTTGAAAGGAAGGAGAGCAAGGCAAACAGCATGCGTGATGAAGTCACGGAGATTCGCCAAAAAGGACAGACATTTTGTGGAATATAAACAGGTCAGAAGTTATGACGAGAGCGAGACAAGAGGGTAAGAAATGGATAGAGGGGCCAGAACAGAGGAGTGATAAAACCGTTTCGGCAGAAAGTTTGTGAAGAGATTATCTTCATTTGTCTATATGACGAGTTGTAGTCTGGTACAAGATTCACTAAAGATGCCGGCGGAACGTTTGGGATTGTACTAAGTCCACGGTCCGGCCATAGAAATCATCATTCACACTATCGACTTAGGACTAGATATGTTCATCTAGGCCTTGCTAGCAATATGACTAAGTTGCGAAAACAAGATCAAGTGACTATAATACATCGAAAGGGGACCGAGACCAAAATAGAGGCCATATCTTGGCCTTCGTATCTACGTTTAAATAATTTTTGGTCGATTTGAATAGTTTAGTCAATTTGATATTATTCTGTGACATTCTAGTAAAATGTGGGCTTGCTTTATTGGACCAAATTGTAAATACATAAAAATAAAGTCGAGCATACTTTGGGTAGGGATTCGGAACATTGAACCTTTTACACAGTAGATTATCAGGATGCCATTCGAGATGGCGCCTTGTAAGAACACCATAGCTTTCCGTTAACACCGCATGCGCTCTAGGATCGAGATCGAGAAGGTTCTGCTCGGAAAAAAATGTATATGATCATTAATATAGATTCAAAAGAATCGTATAACCATAAGAGTTAATTCGATTAAATTAAAATATAATTATCAAAAAGAAGCCCAAATGAAGGCCGAAGTAAGCCGTTTAAATAAATATATGGGAATTTTAGAAAATATCAGTACATAGGAGTGGTTTGACCTCGTTTTCACAACTTGGCAGAGACCTACATGTCCGGATTCCTCTTTCATGATATCAGTAGATGGTTAAAAAGAACAGAAACCACTTTAGGTCGCTTAAAATTAAATGTTAAGATTCCAACATTAAAATGAGTACAAGACCTTAAAATTACATTTAATTTTACTAAGTCTTTAATTCAAGAAAGCCTTTTCATCCAAGATGGAGTGCAAGCCAGACCTCTACAAACTCCCATTTTATAATGAATATACATTAGAATATACAGATTGGACGTGCATCGGGATTATCGGTAGCTCTTGAAAAGGAATAGGAGTCAGCATAAGTCGCTTAAGATAATGTAGAATGGATAGTTGAATTTACTACAATAAAATGAATAAAGGCTTCATAATGCAACCAAAGTATAATTGCCTTGTCTCCCAAGGTGTCTCAAGGTGTACTGATAGCTTCGAAACCTACTAAGCGGCAGTCTAAGAAGATTTAAGGTATTGATTTTAAGATTGAAGCTATTTTAAACAGCTCAATTATAAATCAATCATTAATGAACTTACAAAAGGAATGAAGAAAAAGCTCTAATGTGATAGGAAAATGCAATTTGGCCCGAAAGGATCATTTTGAATTTAATTCTAACATAAAAATGAGTAAGATATGATGACGAAGATTGTTGGGTTCTCGGTATGGCCACAACCTACTTTCGATATTGAAGTGGGCTAAGCTCGTTTACGTAACCTACTCTATTTCTCTTCTATCTCTCAAGGCAAACGTATATATTCGTAATCTTCTTATCACAATTGCAAATTATCAAAAAGTATGAAGTGCTCGACAAGTGATCTTTATTGGCAAGTATAATGTGGCCTCATCAAAACTGGTATACACCTTACACCAAACAAATTAGAACAGATAATTAGATACAGGACTGAAATACAGATCTACCTCATACTCCCGTATCTGAGAGAACTTCATATTGATCTCAAAACTATCACGATTATGAAGAAAGGACTCAATTTTCCAATTCAAGATGACAGAAGCCTTCTAGAAAATATCCTGGTGGAATTTATCAGTATCTCCGACACGTTCTCTGGGGGGACAAAGAAGGGAAATGAAGATGAAGCTAATTCCAAGGATATTGACATATCAACAACCAAAACACAGGAATAGATTTACCAAGATATGCAAGACCATGGAAATAAAGGAACAATTAGTACCTCAGACGGATAAAGGAGGAGCCACAGTGATTATGGACTAAAAACAACATACCGAGAAGATGGAATGTATTCTGTAAAAGAGCATTACATATAGTATACTAAAGAAGTACCCAACTATGAAGATCAATTAAACCTTATGTGACATATTGAAAGATATGCATAGGAACGAAGAAATTGACGTATGGACAAAAGATTCAATCACAAGAAAGGATGCACGACTCCCAACAGCATACGGATTAA